GAGAGAGAGAGAGAGAGAGAGAGAGAGAGAGAGAGAGAGAGAGAGAGAGAGAGAGAGAGAGAGAGAGAGAAACTCACTTCCTCTGATTGAGACATTGCAGCACGAATCTTTCCGATCCCTGTTCGGGAACCTACAGCAATTGCCACGGCCCTTCCCCTTCCTGCTGTCACAACTGTGCCCTGACAAGCACCAAAAGGATCCAGCGGTTAGAAACTGCAGCCTTGTAAATTGTAATGCAACACTTCTGCAAGGAATCCAATAAAACAACATCATGAAACAGATGCAAGAGCTCCAACGGCCTCTCTACTAAGTCAGTTTGTTCCCGTAGAACTTCCAAGAAAGACACTTGGAGAACATACAGCTCTCACTCCCTCTCTGCCTACGGTTTACAGGACGGCTCTGTTGACGAATATATAGTTGAAGTACTTAGAATTGCACGGAGAATGAGCAAGAGTGATAGACAGAAAACCAAATAGCAACATCACATTGAAGATCAGATAGTCGTGTCCCAAGCAGAAAGCAGAGTGCACTGAGATACAAGCCAAAAAGGAGCACTGCAACAAACTCAAATGTCAATGTCAGCCGAAATGTCAATGTCAGCCGCCCTTCCTGTATGGCGCTCAGCGCCCAACCTACCACTACTTCAGAACCCATACTATCCTACAGCTACGTGAAGAAAGCAACCAGGAACACTTCCAGTCGAACACCAAGGCACATGAAGTCGCCAATGCAGACTGCCGCACACACATCAGGTAACTGTCTGGCGCCCCCATCACCTTCTCCGCCACATTGTGCGCCTCCTACCCGATGACCACCATCGCCCCTCGTCACCTTCTCCCCCATCATTGTGGGCCTCCTACCCGAAGACACCATCGCCCACACCCGCCACCACGAGCAGGCCCGGCTATGGCCTCTCACGCCCACTGCCAACACATCGCCCCTCTGTCCTCTGGCGCCCGTGTGCGCCCAGGCAGCCAGCGCTCTGGTCGCGACCTTCAGCGCACAGAATGGCAGCGCTGTCGGCCAGCAGCCTGGTGCATGAATGTCCTCAATGCCACAGAGCACTTTCCTATGTGGAAAGTGCTTCACCATGGAGGCTGCCTGGACCAGGAGGCCGTGTGCCCTGTAGCCTGGTGTTGGGCCAAAGTGTCTGCGCCCAGGCCCATTCAGATAGCGGGCTGGGACCAGAAGAGTTAGGGCACAGGCCCAAATGTGTGACGTGGCTCGCATCACACGCGGCTCTCCGATTGGCCGAAAGACCTGGACTCTGGAGCCAAGTCGCTCTCTGGAAGAGCCTGGAAGGCTCGCAAGTCCTTGGTCCACACAGCATGCTGGGAATCTTAACCAACTGGCGAGTGGTAACTGTCTGGCGTCCCCAAGAGCAGAAATGACAAAAATAAGGCCTCAAGTCGTAGTGCAGGCCCGCCTTCACTTAGGGCGGGCACGAGGCTTGCTAGGGGCCCCGGCTTGTGAGGGCTCATTCCTCGCAGAATGTCCTTGCCACATTGTCGTTGACACATTCTCACACTGCTTGGCAATAATGCAGCAGCAGAGAACTAAGAGGCAGCATCCATGCCTGCAAAATATGAGATCTATGCATCGAACACACACAATAAGATTGTTACTGTGAAACATCATTAATCATAATACCAGCGGCAAAGAGCTGAAGGGCTCTTATTTTTGTTTTTTTCCCCTTTTTTTCTTTTTTTTTTTCTTTTTTTTTTTTGAGGGACTCATAATAGATACGAACTTTTTACAAAGCAGTTTAGCATGGCTCCTGCAAGAGCATGAAGGAGACGCACACATCAAGAAATGGTCCAATCTGCGGGGGAGAAAAAAAAGAGAAATAGAGAACTAAGAGACACCACAGATATTAGATACCGATTACTACAGGTGTGAAAGACTCGTACCGCCGTCCCTGGCGATCAAGGGGCACAATTACAAAAGCTAGAAAGAAGAAACCGGCGCAAATCCAGCATTGCAAAGGTGTCTGGATGAGGGGTTGCATACAGAGAAGAGAAAAAAACGGCGCAAATCCAGCATTGTAAAGGTGTCTGGATGAGGGGCTGCATACAGAGAAGAGAATGTTCGTCTTTTCTTGATAAACCGCCTTCAGAGTTGCAGTTGCTTCATTGCTCTTCGACACAGATCCGCTCTCACCTGCAACATGTGATTTAGAACCAGAAATAGATGTAAAAAAGGAATCCCACATCAGACTCTAAATCCGATTTCTGCCAATCAATTTTATGCAACTGACAACTGCAAATTAAGGAAGAGTATAAATAAGGGCATATGAATGAGAGAGAGAGAGAGAGAGAAGCAAATCTGCCACATCGGCCATATGTTTATTTGAAGGTATTTATTCCCTTCTCTTTTGAGTTCTTTCTTTTGGCAATCAAGTTGAATCAACTCAGATTCATACATTGCATTCCCGAAGCTCAAGGCTACACCTCTATCACATAAAGAGGATACAGTTTCGAAGAAGGAAGACAACTTGGCACTGGCACACTGCGACGGCACCTACCCTTCCCAGTCCCTTTCCCAGTTCTTTTGAAACACACGCAACAGGTAACCCAAAACACTAACAGGTGGTCAGCCAACCAAAAAATGGCTGGCGACGCCAGGCACAAAGACATCTGTCACCAAACCTTTTTCCTGCTTGCACCGTAAGACCACCAGTCCCTTTCCCAGTTCGTTTGAAACAATGCAACAGGCAACCCAAAACACTAACGGGTGGTCAGCCTAACAGACCAAAATGGCTGGTGACGCCAGGCAAAAGGAGAATATTTCTCCTGTGCCGTTCCTTCTTTTGGCACGCTTAGCAGCAATCCACGTCTGGAAAACGAGGTGTGGAGGGACAGCTGGTTTAAAGTCAGCCATACGCCAAGATCTTCAACCCCGTTTTTTTTTAATATTTTTATTCAGCTCAGGTTTTGCATTTAGCACCAGTTTTTACTGTTTTTGACTCTTTTTGTTTGCTTGTGTTTCACTCTGTTTTTTTGTATATCTCTGGTTTAACTTCGGTTTTGTTACCTGAAAAGATTGCATGCATCTCACCATCTACGTCCCATTAGGCGTCCAGATTTTCCACAGTCCCATGTACCATTGTCCCATCCAGTAGGCCTTGTAGGCCCATCTGTATAACAGGTTCCTTAGATTAGATATCCGGCTGGCCCTGCAGAGCCCAGTTGGTATGTCAGTCCACTCAGCCCTAAACGGTCGGCAAGTGAGAGACACTACCAGCTGCGTCGAAGGTTGACCACCCCCAGCAAAGGCAAGCACCATTACAGGAAATCCAAACCCAGGAACTGCAGCCAATTACAATACTCCGACTGCAAGAGACGTGGGACCCGGTTTCCAGCATGCATAATAAAGTTCAAAGACCATACAAAAAAAAGAAAAGAAATAATCATAGTTGCGGCCCCGCAAGGTGCGCGCCTCAACGCACGTCTGCCGCACCTCGCACACCGCACCGTGCATCGCACCCGATGCGGCGCAAAAGAAACGAAAAAAAAAAAAAAAAAAGAGG